CAAAAAAAAATTGTTCTTACTGTTGCTTCAAGTGGGATAGCTTCGTTATTATTGCCGGGTGGAAGAACAGCACACTCAAAGTTCAAAATACCTGTGCCAACGCTTGACAACTCAACTTGCAACATCGACAAAGACACTGAACATTCTCAATTATTTGAAGCAACGGATGTGATAATATGGGATGAGGCACCTATGTCTCACAAGAACTGCTTCGAAGCATTGGATAAAACCCTTAAAGATGTAATGAGTAAAAAGGGTGTTGAGAATACTATTTTTGGTGGAAAAGTTGTTGTATTTGGAGGAGATTTTAGACAGATTCTTCCTGTTGTTCCAAGAGCTAGGCGTTCTGATATTGTTCATGCATCAATTAGTTCATCTTATGTATGGGATTATTGCCAGGTTTTAACACTATCAAAAAATATGAGACTTCAAGAGGGAAGAGACAACACAAGTTCTAATGAACTAGCGGAATTTTCAAAATGGATTTTAAATGTGGGTGATGGTAAGATTTGTGAACCCAATGATGGTTTGGTTGATATTGAAATTCCTCAAGAGCTATTAATATCAAATTTTGATGATCCTATAAGAGCAATTGTTGAAAACACATATCCCAATTTGTTGGAAAAATATCAAGATGTTGAATTCTTACAAGGAAAGGCTATTCTTGCTTCAACCATTGAAGTTGTGGACAAAATCAATCATTATGTATTAGACTTGATACCAGGTACATGTGTTTTATATTTACTGTATTATTACATTTATAATATATATATATATATATATATATATATATATATATATATTTAAGAACATAGTTTTACTAATTTATTTATGTTTTGCTTTTAAACTTTTTTTTAGGAGAAGAGAAAGAGTATTTGAGTTTTGATTCCATTGATAGAACAGATTCAAGTTATACTGAAGCATATGAAGTTCTAACTCCTGAATTTCTCAGTAAATTAAGAACGTCAGGGCTTCCCAATCATAGGATCAAATTGAAGGTTGGTACACCTATTATGCTAATGAGAAATTTGGACCAAGCCGATGGGTTGTGCAATGGAACAAGATTAATTGTTACAAGATTTATAAATCATGTCATTGAGGCAAAAATCATGTCTGGAAAGAACATAGGTAACATTTTTTACATTCCACGAATGTCTATGTCACCTTCTGATTCACCTTGGCCATTCAAGTTGATTAGGAGACAATTTCCGATTACTGTCTCCTATGCAATGACAATTAATAAGTCACAAGGTCAATCTCTTGATAGTGTTGGATTGTATTTGCCTACTCCTGTGTTTAGTCATGGTCAATTATATGTTGCAATTTCAAGAGTTAAGAGCAAAAGTGAGCTAAAAATCCTAATTCATGACAAGGAGAATGTACCGTGTTCTACTACTACTAATGTTGTGTACAAGGAAGTCTTTCAAGCACTTTGATAGTTGGTAAACTTTATATCTTATACTTTACGATTCAAATTAAAAATCTATTTTGAATTAAAATATATAGTATGTACATTTTCCATGTATTTCAAGAAGTATATAATTTTTCCTATTTATTCATGCAGACGTGATTTGTTGATAGGACCGACGCTTGCTACAAATATGGAGTTAAATGCCAACATGGTTTACATGAGACATATACTCAACTGAAAACATGATAACATACTTAATAATTTAATAATCTATAAATGTAATGTGAATCCAGACGAGACCCGTGCGATAGCACGAGTTTGTTACTAGTAGATAGATAAATTGATTTAAAAAAATTCAGATCTAGAGTCGACCTATATAAGTCAGATTAGCATTTTGACAGCAACATGCTATTTCTAATGAATATTTATCTCTCTTCATCCAAAATAAATATTTCTTTAACCAGCAAATCAATAATAGTATGAGATAACTCCACAAACAATATGTTATTGTATATCCCGAGCCATTAAAAATACAATCGAAATTTATTGACCACTTTATTTTTTTCCTATTGAAACTTTATTGACCACTTTAAATCCATTCTCAAATCTCTTTCATATTTAACATTAAAACTATGTGAAATAAGTTTTCTTATCATCTTATAAACAATTTCTTAAATATACGAAAAAAATCCTATTACTTTTTAATATATAGCAAGAACTCTTATCAAAATATATATATTTTTTATGAAAAGTATTTTTTATACAGTGTATAATATTTTTTTTGTATTATAAAACTATTGATAAAACGTGAAGACCTACTTTATATTTTCATATATTGGTAAATTATAACATAAAAATTTATTCAAACAATAGCAACTCTTATCTAGATAGCTGTATTTGTACTATTCATTTATTATTAGGAGCATCTTATATATTATTATACAGTAACATCATTTGATTATTTTAAATATATAATCAAAAAATATGTTTTCCTTCCGTAAAAAGCTGATTTGATAATTACAAATGAAATTATTTATTATTTATGGCTATAAATCGCATTCAATGTAATTTTATACCTATATCAAAATGATCGAAAATATAATTAAAGAAAACAATTTCATATTTTAGTACTAAAATAATTTATTGAGTATAATAAAAATTTAGCGTAAAACTCGTCCCAAAAAAACTATTGCTTCTCATCTCACGCAAGTAAATCTAATTAAAGAATCCAGATGCGTAATTATTTTAATCGTCGGGTTCAAAAAAATGATAGCGAAAAAAATAAATAATAAAAGTAAAATAAAAGTTAGGAATAGTTATGATATCATGAAAGAGACCTTACCAATACACCACAAACACGGATTCACGAAACCAACCATTTCCCATTCACCTTCCGACCTCTTTACGCGTACACACTTCAAGGACCTTCTAGTCTTTTCCTTCTCCACCTAAATACCATCACCCTATTAAAAATAAAATTTAATATAAAAATAAAATGTAAAAACAAAAGAAACAAAAGGCAATTACAGCGAGAGGTAAGAAAGAAAACAAAGAAGGTCCATTTTGAATATATATATATATATATATATATATATATATATATATATATATATATATATATATATATATATATATATATATATATATATATATATATATATATTTTGTGTAATTAGATGGATAGATAAATCAAACAAGAAGAAGAGAAGGTGTTGTTGTGTGTATGGTATTGTTGTTAATAACTTTTGTTATGCTACTTTCCTTCAACCACAATCTCTCTTTCTCTCTCCCACCATCCATTCTTCTTTTTCTCTCTCATCATATCTCTCCCTCATTCTCCTCCTCAATCTCATCACCGTAACCATCTTCTTCTTTTCTTTAACCCATCAATCCTTTCAAAACCTCTCTCTGTTTCCTAGAAGATGAGTTTATTTTGAGAATATAAAAAAAAAATTGAAAGGTTTTTCCTTAGATTTATCAATTTTTTTCTCTTTTTTTGGCAGATTTGATTTTCTAGGTTGTTTTAGAATTTGAAAAAGATTGAACCAGTGGAGATGGGTCGAGGAGGTGCAACAACCGCTGCGGCGGCGGTTGAACCGGTTTTTTTCAAAGAACCGAGATACAGAGGAGTTAGAAAAAGACCGTGGGGACGGTTCGCGGCTGAGATCAGAGATCCTTTGAAGAAAGCAAGGGTTTGGCTTGGAACTTTTGATACGGCTGAAGAGGCGGCGCGTGCGTACGACACCGCCGCTAGAAATCTCCGTGGACCGAAAGCGAAGACAAATTTTCCTCTAGCACAGCCTTTTTATCAGAACCCTGAAACCGGAAATCCGTTTGGGGAGCTTAGATTCTACGCCGGTGCCGGTGCTGGTGCTGGAGATGGTTTTCAGGATCATCGGAGACCTACATCAAGTGGTATGAGCAGCACGGTTGAATCCTTCAGCGGTCCACGTCCGGTGAGACCACCGATGCCGCCGTCTGTTGTTACCGGAAGACGATACCCGAGAACCCCACCGGTTGCTCCTGAAGACTGCCGTAGTGACTGTGACTCTTCATCTTCCGTTGTCGATGATGCCGACAACGACAACGCGGCATCATCCACGATGCTTTCGTTTAAACGCCAGCCGCTGCCGTTTGATCTGAACGCGCCTCCGCTGGAGGACGCTGATGCTGACGTGGCCATCGGACTTGGTGAGGATCTGCACTGCACTCTTCTCTGCCTCTAATGAAATTGAGATATCATCATGTATTGGATCGTGGAAGAAAATTATGAATTTTTTTACTTTAATTTTTTTTGCTTTTCTTTTTTTCCCTTTTTTTTAATTATGCGGAAAAAATGAAAATGAAGATGAAATTTATGATTGATGATCGGTTAATGAGATTATGGTTAATATAATCTTAATTTCTGTGAGAGTGTTTGTCTTCTCTTCTGCTTTGATGTATGAAAAAAAGACTATTATATATCCATCATAATTTTATTTTCCATGTTTTTGTTCTCTAATTTCTAAGGATTATGAGATGAAAAACTGGAAATTATTATGATCTATCTTTTAGATCTAAGAAAGATTATTGATTGAGAGATTCGTTTGATTTTGTTTTTTATTTTTTATCACCCACTTCCTTACACAAATCACTTTTATGTAATTTATTTTGTTTTTGTGTATTAGTTATATAGTTATGATAGGTTTTCACTTCTAATGGTGATGTCAATTGTAACTTGGATGGATGTTGTGGGTTCTAATCTGATCCGTCTGATGTCTATGGAACTAGAATTCGGACGGTGCGGGTTCTAACCTGCCCATATACATCTAATGTCTTGGGTTCAAATTTGTTGCATCTGATGATGGGTTCGAACTTGTTCAGACGCATTCAATGCTGATGTCTCTGCGTAATTATCTCCTTTCATTTGAGTTGATTTAACCAGACTTATAATAGATTTTTTTAGTGTGGGTGAAATAAGTAGTTTGATATTATAAAAGGTATATAGTTGGATGGTTGAAATAGCAATTAAAACATAGTTTTTTTTTTTGTTGGGACAGGTTGGGAAGAAAAATTGTTAGGTGAGGGATGTAGTTGTAGTGATGATAATTTATTTATTTATTGGTTGTTTTAATAATTTAGTATGCAATGGAATAGAAAAAAGAAGAATGATGTTGGCTTGTATAGCACTCAAGATGTTTGGCAGGGTGGGTAATTTAGATGTTGGGGGTGAATGATTTGATAGAAGAGATGATTCATTCTCCTTTTCTGGGTCTTTTTTCATTACTAATAATAATAACTTGTACTCTATTTGTTTTTTTTTTATATATATTTCAAGTAGGAGGGTCATAATTTTAAAATTTCTTTTATATATTTTTCTCTGTAAATAGAGCTTTTGTTTTAGAAAAGACAGGAATTCAACTCACTTGTAGATAAAGTGATTTATGCTGAAGCTAATATTCATTTATGAAGAATAGTTATATATTTTATAGTTGTGTTTCATACTTTTCATTCAATAAAAATATAATAAATATATTTAAATATCTTGTATTTTTATTGAAAAAAAAGTATAAATAAAATACACATAAGAAAATGCACTTATGTTTTTTTCTTTATTTAATTTCTTTCCATAATTTTCTACAAATAACTTGTGAAGACATCTTATAAGTACGTTCTTGTTTATATACCTCTCAGTCTGTTTTTTAATATATTTATTTTAAATTACTGTACTACTACTTAATTTTTTTGGTTACATTTTCATGTTTGTTAATGATTACTCTTATTGGATCAGAGTTGCTTCTCAAAGAGTAATTTTTATCTGTTCGAAAGTGAATGAATAAACCAACATGCACGCTTATTTTCTTTATTTAATTTTTTTAGCAGTAGCATAATATTTGTGTGATAATTTAAAAACAAGTTGATTGTTAATAATTTCAAAATTTCCAAAACAAACAAATTGATTCTTAATAATTTAAAAAATGGTTTAAGGTGGATTTAAATGAGAAGTTAAGATTTGGTGAAACGAGTGTTATATAAATAAATGATTTTTGTCTATATAGAAATAAATAGGAGGATATGGAGAAAAAAAAGTTGTGAAAAAAAGAGAAAGAGTTGTTTATAATTTAAAGGTGAAACTTGAAGATTATATATTTTTATAAATTGTACGATTTAAATATCTTGAATATGTAGTATAAAATGATAAAGAAATAGAAGGGATATATAGTATCAAATTCAAATGAGTTTGAACTTGAGGAGGTCTTTAGGAATTTTATGTTACACAAAGATATGAGTAAAGTTGAAAGGAAAATTTTATCATAAAATATGGTAAGACTTGCAATATGTACAAATTGAATGTTGAGCTATTAATAATCAACACGAGAATAAAGTAAATGTAATATATATGATAATATTGTGTTGAGTGTATGGTAAAAGTAGACATGATAAGATTATAAATTATAGTATTAAAAAGTATTGGACTAACATCTATAATAGAAATGATAGTGTAAAATAGACTCAAGTGATTTTTACATTTAAAGAGAAGAACTGTAAATTTTATTGTAAACAGAGTAGTTAGATGAGGATGAGTCAAAATGTTAGAAGTAAAAGAAACTTATAAAAAATATAAAAAAAAGTTGATCTTATCGGTGATTAGAATCTGTAATGGACCAATAGCTTCGTCCGCAATGTTGAGATCACGGAGGAGGAGTGTACTTACAAGACACTCTGATACTGAAGTAAGTAAGAGTGTAGAGATACGTGAGAGAATTTAGGGATAAGAGTTTAATTGAATATTGAATACTTGAGTCTCACAAGTGTGAGGATATTTATAGTGCCTCCGACGCTTGGCCGTTGGTTCCTATTATGGGCTGGGCATCCATAATCCAGGTATGTAACTACCAGGATTTCTACGTGAAAGTAGGGGACAAACAACTCGTGCTCGTTTTTTTGAGAAGAGATGCCCGAAACTAGCCGTTATCATGGATAAAGATGCCCAAAACTAACTGTTACCGCGAGCAGAGATGTGGTCAAAAGTAATCGTAGTCTTGTCGACCTTGGGGTCAACCAACCACGCGCCTCCATCCGCAGGGTAAAAGGGAGACACGTCCTCTGTTAGCCCTAGTTGATTGGACTAATGCTTTTGGGCTATCCTGGAGGCATAAGTGGATTGGACTGTGCTTAGCTAAGGGTCCAGTCCAGAATAGGAGCCCATAAAATCGTTGTTTATGGACATAGGAGTAATGACTTAGAGTCAGACCGTGCGTTGAAGAAGAAAGTGTTATGTTCATGTCCGTTGGTCGAAAACAGGGATGCTTCGCACACGTGACCAGGAGCTGGTCTATAAATAGGAGAAGAGAAAACCCATCTTCAATTTTTGCACACCTCCGCTCTCATAATTTTTTGACTTTTGGGAACCAATCATTGTCGCCTCCGTGACCATCGTTGTCGGACCACCTTTGTTTGTTGCTTCACATTAGTAAGCTTATGTTTTCTTCTTGCTTTGTGTTATGATTAGTTTGAATCTTGTTTAGAATGAATGTTGATAGTGCAAAAGCTGTAAATGTGAGTGTCGCTCCAGTGGGTGTTGGTGTTTGATAATGGTTGGGCCATTTTTCAAACGCCGGTGCCGACGAGGCTGTTAGCGTCGTGTATATGCGAGTTAGGATTTCTCATTTTTGTTAGTTTTGGTGTTGCTGTTACGACAACAAGTGATCCTAGTACTAGCGAGACTCATGAGTTTCTTGATGGGTTTCAATCGTTTTCTAGTGATTGGTATGAATCTATGATGACTTCAATTGGAGTTCATAGTTTATACGCCGAGGAGCCACTTCCCTATGAGGTTAATTGGTTCGTCTGTCGGGGAGGTTAAGTCTCCCAAATGAGGAAGGTTTCCTCGCGTTTTCGTTGCTGTTGAATAAGGGCTTTGGTCGAGGGCGTCATCCCCGTACCTTTCCACACTCTTTCACTTGATTAGTGGTGGAAGGGTGGATTGATTTGATTGTCGAATTCACTTTTGTCCCCTACTTTTCAAGTTAAAAAGGATCATAACATTGAGGAGAAGCACCCGATCGATCCGAACGAAGCTTTCGAGGAAGAATGGGTTTCTTAGAAGCCCCGAGAAATAGCTTTGTACTTCGTAGACTTTCCCGAAGAGGCGTTCACCTTTGTGGGGAAGGTAACAAACCCTCTAGAATCTGAGTAGGACTGGGTGGTCAACTGCCATGAACAAAATGAGCGGATTTTCTCGGAATTCGAAGATAATCGATTTATAATATATGAGTTTATATTCAAGGAGTTGGGACTTCGATTGCCCTTCACAGACCTTTAGGTGGACGTCTTTAATCATCTGGATCTAGTGCTTTCTCAATTGCATCCTAATTCGATGGGTTTCCTCCGGGCATTCAAGATCGTATGCTGGTATCTCCAAATTGGTGCCACAATTCCCTTGTTCTTCTATTATTTCCATCTCTAGCTCCAGTTTTCAAACGGGCAGTATGGTTGGGTTTCTGTGAAGCAAATGAGGAGGTTGTTCAAGGCTTTCTCAGATTCTATCCATACGTTCAAGGATAGGTACTATCTAGTCCAACCGGTGTCGGGGACGGCCATTACTTTCGTCTTCGATCCCGAAGTTATTTACGGGCCGGATGGGAGCCCTCTTCTTAATGGTTATGGCTGGGAGAAGAAACAACTGGTCCAAAAGTTTCGCTTTCATTGGGAAAAGACCACTTCGGCTGAGTATTACATCGTCAAGCCCGACCAACTGTTCCCCGAGGATCAGGTCAACTATGGTAAGCTAGTGGCTTTTGTTGATGGTTTTGTTCCTGCTAAGCGCGTGAACAAGAGCACAAATATCATTGTCGACCAACATGGGGAACCTATGCTCGAATCCTGATATATAAACACCAGAGGGCTCCTCGAGTGTGGTACCCTTGAGGAGGCGTTAGCGCTCTTAGATAGATATATTTCTTATTTACTTGTTTGTGTTTACTTTTTTCGTTTATTGATCCGTGCTCGTTGCTTGTCGCATGTGAAATGTAGAATCTCCAGGAGCGTATGGTCAAGATGGCCACAACCAACAAAGTGAAGCAGTTGAAGAAAGTTCCTAAGAGTCGTCTGGGCGTTGTCGTGCTTCCGCATCCTTCGGGACGGGGACCTTCTCTTCCTCCCATATTGGTGAATAGTCTCCCCCTCAGCAGGTTACCTTGGTTAGGAAGTGTCATCGCGTGGACGTCGAACCTATAGATCTGATCAGGGAGGCGACTATGGACAAGTATGAGCTACTTCCTTGCTTTCTTCACAAGGGTTACTTTGAAGGAGGTCTCTCCATGACTGTTCCGCGGGCAGAATCCCTACACCTCGAGGGTATCGATCAATCGAGCAAGAAGAAGATCTTGGTTCAAGATGCTACTACCCTGATGAGGGTCCTGGGAATAACAATGGTCTATACCAGTGAAGGGACCTCCCCAACTAAGGAGGCGAAGAAAGCTTAAGCCATCATCGCGGATCTCGAGGAGAAATTGGCCAAGTTGAAGTCCGAGGAGAAGGATGAGTTGGACGGGAAGAATGCGGAGTTGGTTAAGTTGACCGAGGATATGTCTAACCTGGAGGATGTTCATGCCACCGAGAAGAAAAATCTCGAGGACAATGTTGCTGCCTTGGAGGCTGCTGCAGTGCTTGCTAAGGATGAGGGTGATGATTTGAAGATGTTGAAGACCCGTGCCAAGCTTATTTTCTGCATTCGAAGACTCGAACAGGATTGCTTGGAGGCTGTCGAGGTTAGTTTTGATAACATGATGGATCGGCTCAAAGTCAGGAGTCTCGGGCTCGAGCTTTTTACCAATAATATTGGGTTCTTGTATACGGTGGTTGATGGCGAAAAGGAGGAAGAGGAGATAAGGCCCAACCAGGAGAGACAATTGTCCGATAATTGATCAAGTGTTGACTCGTTTTGTGTTTGTCCGACCTGCGTGCTGTATTTTTGTAATGATTCTTTTTTGGATGGGGCTTTGCCCAACTTTTGTAATATTTTGACAATTTCGACTCTTGTGGCCGTTTTAGGTTTAACTGCATTTTCAGTATCTTACATGTGAATTGTATTTATTGCCTTTGTTAAGCTTTGCATGTTTGTATGCTCGTCAGCTTGAGACGTTTATTCTTACTATTTCTACTAAGTGTTTTTTGGGGGGTTTTGCTCGATGATATTATTGTTCGATAGTGCAGGGAACTTTTTGAATGGTCGGGGCTGATTTCTGGGAAGAGATCAGAGCTTAAGTCTCGTTTGGGATTTGAGCTCTGTGACATGAACCTCTCATTGCGGGATGGGTGTTCTTCTATCGTGGTACGACAACGATG